AAAAATTATTTTAATGTTATTAAAACGAATAGTATGCATTTAAAGAAAGTTTATTTTGTATTTGAAGTTTTAATCTGTTAATTAAAGTGATAAATTTATACAATAATTTTGCACTTGAAAACATTTATATCCAAAGCTTGAAGGTGTTTTTTTTATTATTTGTTTCATCTTTTTGAAAAGAAAAATTTAATTATAATATATAAAAGATTAAACAATTGTATTGTTTAAAGTTATTGATATTAAATAAATTTTAATATTAATTAAATTATTAACATAATTAAGGTAAATTTTACTTATTTAAAATATTTTTTTTTTAATTTTTAACATAAAATCAGTGTTTTAAATAATTTAATACAAGAATATATTTTTTACAACATTTTTCTATAAAATTGTTAGTTTTTAACATATTTTTCCATAGAAAACTTAGCGTATAACAGTTTCTTCTTTTGAAAATTGAGCTTATAACAGTTTTTCTATAAAAAATTTGTGTGTAAAAGATTTTTCTAGAGAAAAATTTGTGTATGACACATTTTTCTACAGAAAATTTTGAGTATAATAACTTTTTCTATAGAAACATTTGTGTATAACAACTTTTTCTATAGAACATTTTCGATGGAAAAATTTTTCTATAAAACATTAAAGTATGTATACATCTTTTCTATAGAAAATTTGGCGAATTACGGTTTATTCTTTAGTAAAACAGTTGTTTCTATTGAAAATATGTGTATAACAGTTTTTTCTATAGAAAAATTTATATATAACAGTATTTCTTTAGAAAAATGTGTGTATAGCAGTATTTTTCATACAAAAGATTCTGTATAACAGTTTTTTTTTTTTTGAAAAAAAAAAATTGTATAAGTTTTTTTCTATAGAAAAATTTGAGTATAATAATTTCTTCTATATAAAAATGTGTGTATAGCAGTTTTTCTATACAATTGTTTCTGTATAACAGCTTTTTTCTATAGAAAAATTTGTATATAATTCTTTTTCTATAGACAAATGTGTGTATAGCTGTTTTTTTCTATACAAAAATTTCTGTATAACAGTTTATTTCTATAGAAAAATTTTTATATAATATTTTTTTCTATAGAAAAGTGTGTGTATAGCAGTTTTTTCTATACTAAAGATTCCGTATAACAGTTTTTCTATAGAAAAATGTTTGTAGCAGTTTCTTCTATATAAATGTTTCTGTATAACAGTTTTTTTCTATAGAAAAATTTGTGTACAACAGTTTTTCTTTAGAAAAATGTGTTTATAGCAATCTTTTCTATACAAAAGTTTCTGTATAACGGTTTTCTTCTATAGAAAAATGTTTGTAGCAGTTTCTTCTATATAAATGTTTCTGTATAACAGTTTTTTCTATAGAAAAATTTGTGTACAACAGTTTTTCTTTAGAAAAATGTGTTTATAGCAATCTTTTCTATACAAAAGTTTCTGTATAACGATTTCTTCTACAGAAAAATTTGTGGACAACAGTTTTTTCTATTGAATAATATGTGTATAACATTTTTTTTTATATAAAAATTGTGCGTAACATCTTTTTCTATAGAAAATTTTGTGTATAACAGAGTTTTCTATAGAAAAATTATTGTATAATTCTTATTTCTACATAAAATTTGTGTAGAACAAGCTTTCTAAAGAAACATTTTTGTATAACAGTTTTTTCTATAAAAAAAAGCTTTTCTATCGAAATATTTCCTATAGTTTTTTCTGTATAACAGTTCCTTCCGTTAAACTTTCCTATTTAAAAGTTTGTGTTACAGTTTTGTGTATTACAGTTTTTTCTGCAAAACATATTTTGTATAACAGTTTTCTCTCTGTCATAACCTCATACCTTTTTCTACATTCCAGAATTATTCTAAATTTGCATTTTTCTTTAAGCTCATTTTGTTATTTAAATTGTTTTATTACAATTAACAGCAAAAATACATGATTCATTTCGTTATTTCTTTCGTATTGGAACTGCGTTTGTAAGCGGTTTGTCATTTTATTATTTGTTTTGTGTATAAACAAATATAAAATCATTTTATTTTTACTTTAGAATAATAAAAATCAACAATTTTAAAAAATCACTTTTATATGCCTGTGCCTCTTGCAACGTGTTTAGAATCTTAATTATCTACTCTATACTTTTCAAGATTTTATGAATAATTTTTTCAACGCTTTAAGGTTGAGTTTTTTTTTATTTTTTTTCTGTATGAATTTATTTTGTTTTATTAATTTTAAGTGTATGTAATTTTATTTATATAAAGCCGACAATTCTTTTTTTTATTCTTGTTAAGAATTTGTTACTTTTTTTAGTTGTTTATAAGTAATTTTGAGATTTCCGCATTTTTACTTAAAAGCTTTTGTCCTCACAAAAGGTTATTGGAAAATTTAAGATATTAAACTTATTCACTACAGAATAAGAAACGGAAGAAATATAGACACTGTTCCAGGCTTGACTACATAGTAAACTACCGTAGTAAAAGTATAGACTAGAATATAAGCTAAACTATAGACTAGACTATAGACTAGACTATAGACTAGACTATAGACTAGACTATAGACTAGCCTATAGAATAGACTATAGACTAGACTATAGACTAGACTATAGACTAGACTATAGACTAGACTAGACTAGACTATAGACTAGCCTATAGACTAGACTATAAACTAGACTATAGACTAGACTATAAACTAGACTATAGACTAGACTATAAACTAGACTATAGACTAGACTATAGACTAGACTATAGACTAGACTATAGACTAGACTATAGACTAGGCTATAGACTAGACTATAGACTAGACTAGACTATAGACTAGACTATAGGCTAGACTATAGACTAGACTATAGACTAGACTATAGACTAGACTAGACTAGACTAGACTATAGACTAGACTATAGACTAGACTATAGACTAGACTATAGACTAGACTATAGACTAGACTATAGACTAGACTATAGACTAGACTATAGACTAGACTATAGACTAGACTATAGACTAGACTATAGACTAGACTATAGACTAGACTATAGACTAGACTATAGACTAGACTATAGACTAGACTATAGACTAGACTAGACTATAGACTAGACTATAGACTAGACTATAGACTAGACTATAGACTAGACTATAGACTAGACTATAGACTAGACTATAGACTAGACTATAGACTAGACTATAGACTAGACTATAGACTAGACTATAGACTAGACTATAGACTAGACTATAAACTAGACTATAGACTAGACTACAAACTAGACTATAGACTAGACTATAGACTAGACTATAGACTAGACTATAGACTAGACTATAGACTAGACTATAGACTAGGCTATAGACTAGACTATAGGCTAGACTATAGACTAGACTATAGGCTAGACTATAGACTTGACTATAGACCAGACTATAGAATAGACTATAGACTAGACTATAGACTAGACTATAGACTAGACTAGACTATAGACTAGACTATAGACTAGACTATAGACTAGACTATAGACTAGACTATAGACTAGACTATAGACTAGACTATAGACTAGACTATAGACTAGACTATAGACTAGACTATAGACTAGACTATAGACTAGACTATAGACTAGACTATAGACTAGACTATAGACTAGACTATAGACTAGACTATAGACTAGACTATAGACTAGACTATAGACTAGACTATAGACTAGACTATAGACTAGACTAGACTATAGACTAGACTATAGACTAGACTATAGACTAACTAGACTAGACTAAAGACTAGACTAAAGACTAGATAGATAGATAGATAGATAGATAGATAGATAGATAGATAGATATAGATAGATAGATAGATAGATAGATATAGATAGATAGATAGATAGATCGATAGATAGATAGCTCGATCGATCGATAGCTAGATCGATAGATCTAGATCGCTCGCTCGCTCTCCTCGCTCGCTCGCTCGCTCGCTCGATCGCTCGCTCGCTCTCGCGCCTCGCTTCGCTCGCTCGTCGCTCGCTCGCTCGCTCGCTCGCTCGCTCGCTCGCTCTCGCTCGCTCCTCGCTCGCTCGCTCGCTCGCTCGCTCGCTCGCTCGCTCGCTCGCTCGCTCGCTCGCTCGCTCGCTCGCTCGCTCGCTCGCTCGCTCGCTCGCTCGCTCGCTTCGCTCGCTCGCTCGCTCGCTCGCTCGCCCGCCTCGCCCGCCTCGCCCGCCTCGTTCGCTCTTCGCTTCTCCCCCCTCTCCTCCCCGTTGTCCTCCTTCCCCCCCTCTTCCTTTTTTCCTTTTCTCCCCCCGTTTCTTCCTCCCCTCCCCTCTCTCCCTCCCCGCTCCTTTGTTCCCTTGCCGTGTTCAAATTCTTAATTGTTAAACAAACCCCCTCCAGCAATTCGTTACTGTTTTAAAAAACATTTCATTTCATGGGCTCACGAAAAATATAGAAAAGAAAAAAGTGTAGGTTTTGATTTGTATTTGACAAGAGATTTTATTTCTCCACAATTGTAATTTCTTTGCATTTGGTGGCCAAACCAATTGATGAAACTGTAGGTAGATAAAAATAATAATACACAGAGTAACAAATAGTTTTATAAACAATCTTTAAAAAAGTATAGATTTAAAACTTAAATATCTAAAACTGGTGTCATTTCTGCTACATTACACTGTTAACAAAAAAAAAGAAACATAAAATAAAACTATAATGAGTTATAATGCAAATAAATCTAATAAATAATAGCTTTACTAAAGTAATAAATGCGTAGGCTTATTTCTCTTCTAATAGTAAATCAATAAAAAAGTTAAAAAAAAATATTTTATTGAATTTGTAAAAATAAAAAATTATAACTTAAATCAGTCTTAAAACTAAAACTAAAGCAAGCACATGTTATTAAGAAGAATTACTTTAAAGTTTAAACACTTTATGGAACTAAAACCATGAGATTATTAAGAAATTACAATAAAAAACAAGTATTTATTAAGTTTAATTGAAATTGAAAAAACAAATACAATTTATATTAATTTTTATTCTCTGCATTAATTACAGATGGCTATACCCCCTCCCCCGGGTCCGCCACCACCACCAGGTC